GATATTGTTTAGTCGAAGTATGCAAAGTATAAAAAGAAAACACTTTGCTCAGTCATCTAGTTAGGTTCTTAGTAGAGCAAAACTCTCACTTTATGCTGTTACCTCCTTTTTCTCGCTTCTCCTACTCTAATCGTGGTTTCTGTGTCTTGATGCGCTGCTGAACATTAAGCTCCACAAGAGCAGGACTTCGACTATCACGGCAAGATCAGGGGCCTAGCCACAATTCTCTGGCTCACAGTAGACATTTGGTGCTGTTTAAATGGAAATAAATAAATAAAACCAAATAATTACAACAGTAAAATGAACCACAACTTTCTCAGTCAACTGAGTGCTTAGCACTCCTCTTTCTTGGTCTTTTATAACAGCTGATACTTTTCTCCTCCTCTTACCTCCCAATCCATTCCCACGTTGCAGCAAAGTGAAGTTTATGTCCTCCCTGAATCCTCATTACTGCAGATAAAGGCTGAATTGCTAAGGGTGCCCCTTCCAGGCCATTTCTGACTCTTTGCTCTCATACTCAGTTGCAGTCCCCAAACATTGCCCAGCATTCTGTCTCTCTTTTGTAATGTCCTCCCCATGCCTTTTTTTTGGTTCCACCTGCCCAGTCCTCCCTTTTCTTTTTAAATATTTCAAACACCAGAAAAATATGTGAATATACATGTACTCACCCTGGCTGTTCACATTCTAATAAATTCTTGCTTCAGATTGTTTTTTGGAAATAGAACATTTCTAGTACCTTTAAAGTCCTATTTTCCCTTCTAAGTCCTAGGCCACTTTCTCTTTGCCCAGAGGTCATCAATATCCTGATTTTTTATTATTTGTATTTATTTATTTATTTTGAGACAGAGTTGGACTCTGTCACCCAAAATGGAGTGTAGTGGCGTGATCTTGGCTTACTACAACCTCTGCTCCCTGTTCAAGTGATCCTCCCGCCTTAGCCTCCTGAGTGTCTGGAACTACAGGTGCATACCACCATGCCCAGCTAATTATTATTATTATTATTATTATTTTTTGAGATGCAGTCTTGCTCTGTCTCCCAGGCTGGAGTGCAGTGGCGCAGTCTTGGCTTACTGCAACCTCCGCCTCCCGGGTTCAACTGATTCTCCTGCCTCAGCCTCCCAGGTAGCTGGGACTACAGGCGCACGCCACCATGCCTGGCTAATTCTTTTGTATTTTTAGTAGAGATGGGGTTTCACCATGTTGGCCAGGCTGGTCTCAAACTCCTGACCTCAAATGATCCGCCTGCCTCAGCCTCTCAAAGTGCTGGGATTACAGGCGTGAGCTACCACGCTCAGCCTCCCAGCTAATTTTTTGTATTTTTAGTAGAGACAGGGTTTCACAGTGTTGACCAGGCTGGTGTCGAACTCAAGTGATTTGCCCATTTCAGTCTCCCAAAGTGTTGGGATTACAGGCATGAGCCAGCACACCTGGCCCAATAATCCTGATTTTTTTTTTTTTTTTTTGAGACAGAGTCTTGCTCTGTCACCCTTACCGCAACCTCTGCCTCCTGGGCTCATGCGATTCTCCTGCCTCAGGAGAAGTTTTAGTAGAGACAGGTTTGTATTTTTAGTAGAGATGGGTTTTACCATGTTGACTAGGCTGGTGTCAAACTCCTGCCCTCAGGTGATCCACCTGCCTTGGCCTCCTAAAGTGTTGGGATTACAGGCGTGAGCCACTGTGCTTCGCCCGACCCCTGATTTTTAAATATCTTTTCCACTAACACCTTTATACTTTTTGCTACATATGTATATACGTATAAAAACTACATTTGTTTAGAGCTTCTATACCAGTGTATTCTAACTGCAGCAGTGAATGAACTTCCAATATCTACATCTTTGCCCAGATAAAGAATTATCAGACTTAATATTTGTCAGTTTGGTGGCTAGAATAACCTGTTACGTTTCCCTGATTACTGATGAGGTTGAGCATATTTTTATGTTTGTTGGTCATTACTGTTTTCTGTAAACCTTATTCCTAATATGTTCTCATTGTTCTCTAGGGTTTTCTTTTCCTTATTGATTTCTAGGAGGAATTCTTTCTGTATTTTGAATAACATTCTTGTCTGCTATTTGTTATTCATATCTTTTTTCAGTCTGTGGCTTATCTTTTCATTTAATCTGCCTATAATTGATTTTTATATATACTATGAGATCAGATTGGGTTCTAATTTTATTTTTCCATATTGGTAAAATGTTCCAACACCATTAACTTTTCCTACTTTTTTTTTTTTTCTCTTTTAAGACAGGGTTTCACTCTGTGGCCCAGGCTGGAGTGCAGTGGTGTGATCACAGATCACTGCAGCCTTGACCTCCCCGGGCTCAGGTGATCCTCGCCTCCTGAATAGCTGGGACCACAGGCATGTGCCAGCCACCACACCTGGCTAATTTTTGTATTTTTTTAGAGATGGGATCTTGCCATGTTGCCCAGGCTGGTTTTCAGCTCCTGGGCTCAGTTGATTGGCCCACCTTGGCCTCTCAGAGTGCTGGGTTTACAAGTGTGAGCCACCATGCCTAGCCTTTTCTACCTTTTTTTTGTTTGTTCTCTTTTGAAATAACTTTAGATTTGCAGAAAAGTTACATAAGTAGTACGAAGGATTCCCATATACCTTCATGCAGATCCATCAAATATTAATGTTTAACATTTTTGCTTGCTCTTGTGTGTACTCTCTTCCGCCCTCCCTCCACATTCGATTTCGTTTTTTGGGGGAACCATTCAAGAGTAAGTTAACAGATACTGTCTCTTCACCCCTACATACTTCAACTAGGACATTTTCTTACAATATAATTGTTAAAACCAAGACATTTTCTTACAATATAATTGTTATCTATCAGCCCTATTCAGATTTCACCACTACTGTTCTTTAAAGCAAAATAATGACAATAGTATTTTTCCTGATAACCAAGGTTGCATTTACTTGTCATGCCTCTAGTCTCTTTACTGACTTTTAGTGTTGCCTCTACTAAAAAGCACATTTTCATATATGATATGTCTGCTTTGGGGCTTTTCTTTTTCATTAGTCTGTTCATTTCTACACTAATTCCGTATTTTCTTAATGATTTCTTTAGCTGATGAGGAAGTCTTAAAATCTAGGAAAGTGTCCCCTCTGTTTTGTTTTCTTTTTTTGTTTTGTTTTTGTTTTCGAGACAGTCTTGCTCTGTCTCCCAGGCAGGGGCTTGATCTTGGCTCACTTCAACCTCCACCTCCTGGGTTGAAGCGATTCTCCTGCCTCAGCCTCCCATGTTGCTGGTTGGGATTACAGGTGTGCACCACCATGCCTGGCTAAATTTTGTATTTTTAGTAGAGATAGGGTTTCATCATGTTGGCCAGGCTGGTCTTTTTTTTTTTCTTTCTTTCTTTTTTTTTTGTGAGATGGAGTCTCGCTCTTTCGCCCAGGGTGGAGTGCAGTGGTGTGATCTCAGCTCACTGCAAGCTCTGCCTTCCGGGTTCACGCCATTCTCCTGCCTCAGCCTCTGGAGTAGCTGGGACTACAGGCACCTGCCACCACGCCTGGCTAATTTTTGGTATTTTTAGTAGAGACAGGGTTTCACGGTGTTAGCCAGGACGGTCTCGATCTCCTGACCTCGTGATCCACCTGCCTTGACCTCCCAAAGTGCTAGGATTACAGGCATGAGCCACTGTGCCCGGCCTTTTTTTTTTTTTTTTTTTTTTTTTAAGACAGAGCCTTGCTCTGTCGCCTAGGCTGGAATGCAGTGGTGCAATCTCGGCTCACTGCAGCCTCTGCCTCTAGAACATTAAATGTTCCAGACCAGTCTGGCCAACATGGTGAAACTCTTTCTTTACTGAAAATACAAAAATTAGCCGGGTATGGTGGCGCACGCCTGAAATCCCAGCTATTTGAGAAGCTGAGGCAGGAGAATAGCTTGAACCTGGGAGGTGGAGGTTGCCTTGGCTATGAGCGAGACTCTCATACACACAAAATAACACAGCAGGTGTATGAGGAACTTTAAATGTCTTTCCTAACTTACTGTATGCAAATAAAAGTAGATACTTAAGAAATTGTCTAAAAATATTTAGTAAACCCATTTCTACACAGACAAATTAAAAGTTCTGAGAAATCAGGCTAAAATAACCTCAAATTTATAAGGTTTGATTAATATTTACCTTTGCATATACACGGAAGCAAAAAATGTTAGGAATACTTTCAATTTCAATAAATTGAAATCAAGTACAAATTTTGACTCCCCTTCCTAAACTGAATAAACTCTTAAAAAGCAGACACACTTTACTTGTGTAAACACTCTTTTTTTTTTAAACGGACTTTCACTCTTGTTGCCCAGGCTGGAGTGCAATGGTGGCATCTCGGCTTACCGCAACCTACACCTTCCGGGTTCAAGCGATTCTCCTGCCTCAGCCTCCCAAGTAGCTGGGATTACAGGCATGCACCACCACGCCTGGCTAATTTTGTATTTCAAGTAGAGATGGGGTTTCTCCACATTGGTCACGCTGGTCACGAACTCGCGATCTGACAGATTCTGTTTTCACATGCCCCTACATGGGTGGGACTGCTTCAGGATTCTAAAAGACAGTACCTTCTGGTGCACTTTCTAAGATGGAACATAATTCTACTCTTTAAAAATCATTAGAGAGTATATATTAATGAACTTTGGCTTTTATTAACTTTCTGGTCATGGCTGTTTGTTTGATGCAGAGTCCTTGACTGTAACAGAAACCTCAAGTAGGGGAAACGTTCACTTTGTAACGATTTCCTTATGATTGATTGACATGTCAGTATAAAATGGATGAGGAATTATACACGTGTTGTATACTGCTATTAATGTTTGGTACAGTGCTTTCTTTAGGGTTTTCATTTTGAGGGGTTGTTAGATCCAGCATTTTCTGGAGCAGAATGCCTTTTAAAGGGAATTTTGTCTTTTTGGGAAATAATTTATAAAAGTTAATTTGGAAAAAGCTGAATTTAAATATGTGTAGCTCTTATAATTATGAGCTTTTTACATTTACACTGACGTTCTTTTGTATAGGAGTTAAAGTTCCTCGTAATTTTCGCTTGTTGGAAGAACTTGAAGAAGGACAAAAAGGAGTAGGCGATGGTACGGTTAGCTGGGGCCTTGAAGATGATGAAGATATGACACTTACAAGGTGGACAGGCATGATTATTGGGCCACCAAGGGTCAGTGTTATAAATTATATTTTTTCTATTAATACTTATTGTTACTTTAGAGTTAACATTTAATTTTATACTATTGATATTAAAATAAGCAATTATGATAACTTCTAAAATAGTTCCTTTTTATTTATTTTGTTTACATTTATTGATGCTTCCCATGTGCAGGATATAATCCTTGATTACGTAGAGGATTGTGGAGAGGAAGGTTGATACGGTCATTGCCATCAAAGTTTTGCAGTTTAGTAAAGGAGAAAAAAATCAGTACAAATTGACAGATTCTAAATATGACAGAGCAAGTTCACTGCGGGACTTTAGAATATGTTTCTTCTAGCTGGAATAATTGAGGAAGGCTGAACAGTGGAGGAAGTTGCCTTTGGAATGAGCGCTAAAGGACTGACTGGTAGGATTTCAGAAGGTGGTGATGGGGATGGAGAACATTCCAGATAGAGAGGACAAAAGGTGAGGAAATGGAGGGGGTATGTGGGGAGAGCAGTCATTTTGACGTAACATGTTACTAACCTCTGGTGTGAACCTGAGGGTATCTAAATTGGTTTGCATTGAGTGCACGTTGCTATTTGCCCTCTGACACTTCACATGCCATAGAAATGCTGTAGGTCTCAGTTTCTTCATCTATAAAAAGTCTATGATTCTTGCACTTTTTTCTAGTGTGGTTGGCAACTGGCCCATTGTACTTTGTCTTAGGTCTTTCTTGGGTTTATGAAGTTTTATTTTTACTCAAAGTCTTTTTATCTAGCTTGGGATTTTTTTTAAATTTTTATTTATTTATTTATTTTTACGTTGCATTCCTTACTTAATGGTCCCTTCCACTGCACTCCTTGCAGCGAATCTTTGAAATGTGTGTCTGTAGTGTTTTTGGCTTGTTAGAAAGAGCACACATTTGAAGGGTTTTTCAAGTCTTTGGTTTTGTATACTGGTTGCTACCTTATGATGAGAGCATTTCAACAGTTTTGCTCTTGGGTAGAGTTTAGAGTTCCTTCTGGTGATGATGATGATGATGATGATGATTATTGAGACAATATCTTGTTCAGTCACCCAGGCAGTGGTGTGATCTCAGCATACTGCAGTCTCAGCCTCCTGGGCTCAAGCGATCCTTCCACCTCAGCCTCCTGAGGTGGTGTGCACCACCACTGCTGGCTAATATTTGTAGTTTTTGTAGAGAGGGGGTTTCACCATGTCGGCCAGGCTGGTCTCAAACTCCTGGCCTCAAGTGATCCACCTGCCTTGGCCTCCCAAAATGCTGGGATTACAGGTGTGAGCCACCGCACCCAGCCCCTCCTGATTATTACAAAAGAAAAATGTATCAGGTAATTAGCAACATTAATTATAGAGAATGAATTAGTGTGTTTTATGTTGTTTTCTGGTGTTCCTTTGCAAAATTCATGCACACTCCTAAACTGATAGGCTCCCTGTGTACCTTGCTCTATTTTTTCCTAAAGACATTTGAGGAAGGAAATATAATGTTGATGGATAGAGTTCCTTATAACTTGGTATGCATAATGAAAACCTTGATTTTCACTGCCTGTGAACGTTATTACTATGGTCTGTTTGGTTAAAAAAAAGTGCTTATAATTGATGAACATTCTGACTTACTGATTTGAAGATTTAACAGTCAGAACTTGGTAGAATATAAATTTGGAATTATTTAGATTTGGTTTTTCTCCAGCCACTGCCTGCAGCAGACTTTATTCTTTAAGAATGTTTTGGAGCTTGTGATGAGTTCATCAGTGGTCTTGTGGGCTGCCCCACAGCACAGTTCCTAGCTGTGGTGGACCGGCTCCTGCTTGGTCTTTCACCCGGTTGGGGCCCCCTGCAGGATGCCCCAACTGGTTGCCATTCCTGGTGTCACTGAACCTCAGGAAACTCCATCCACTGGGATGGGGGTGAAGGCTGCTTCTCCACAACTCTCTCCTCGCTCAAGGGGCGCAGGGCACACTGACAAGATGCTATGGCGGTCCTCCACTCTCAGTGGTTGGTGGTTTTGGAGCTGCAGGGGAGAAAAGGTCGTAATAGCTTTTCCTCACTTGTCTCAAGCTTCATGGCTGAGGCACTTATAATAAAAGGCAGAGAAAAGCATACAAATTTATTTAAGTTTTACATGACATGGGAACATTCAGAAAGGAAGACCCAAAGAAACAGGGAAACCTGCGTATTTTTATGATAAATTTGGTGAAGAGTGGACAGTAATGTAACAGCGTGATTGGATCTGATGGTAACACACTAGGTAATAAACTGGGGGAACTTACCAGGGCCTGTTTGTTCAGATTATTCCTGTGTCTATGGATTTCATTCCTTTCTTGGCATAAGACAAGACCCCTTTGGAGTGGTTCTCATGACCTACTTCATGAGGAGGTCAGCTAGATTTTAGGGTCTGCTTCAGAGGAGAAGGGGGCGAAGGTAAGGTAAGAGTAACCTTGCTTCTGCTGTTTTCTTAAGTGCCAAGGTGCCGTACTTCGGGATAGTGTGTCTTGAACCTCATCAGAGACCCGCTCACTTCCTTTGAGTGCCAGGCAGAGGTAGGAGGGTGTGCCCTGCAAAGGCACAGGCTTCTTCTGGAGCTGGCCTCTGCTCACCACCTGATGATCTTCTCTGCATCACCCTGTCTCTCAGTTCTCTTGAAGGCAGGAGGTTATAGCGGGTATATTCAGTTGCCTTTTCATAAAACAGGCAGTAGTTGGTGTCTTACCACAGTTGTTTTCTCCTTAGAAGGTGAGATGTTGAGAACAGTTTTATCTCCAGGGTAGAGTACCTACATCTCGCCAGAAGAAAAGGAAGACTTTTTTGTTTGTTTGTTTGTTTTTGAGACGGAGTTTGGTTCTTGTTGCCCAGGCTGGAGTGCAATGGTGTGATCTTGGCTCACCGCAACCTCTGCCTCCCAGGTTCAAGCGGTTCCCCTGCCTCATCCTCCCTAGTAGCTGGGATTACAGGCATATGCCACCACACCCAGCTAATTTTGTATTTTTTTTTTTTTTTTTTTGAGACGGAGTCTTGCTCAGTCGCTCAGACTGCAGTGCAGTGGTGCGATCTCAGCTCGCCACCGCATCTGCCTCCCGGGTTCACGGCATTCTCCTGCCTCAGCCTCCCGAGTAGCTGGGACTATAGGGACCCACCACCATGCCTTTTTAATTTTTTGTATTTTTAGTAGAGACGGGGTTTCACTGTGTTAGCCAGGATGATCTCGATCTCCTGACCTCGTGATCCGCCCGCCTCTGCCTCCCAGAGTGCTGGGATTACATGTGTGAGCCACTGTGCCTGGCCTAATTTTGTAGTTTTAGTAGAGACGGGGTTTCTCCATGTTGGTCAGGCTGGTCTCAGCCTGACCTCAGGTGATCTGCCCACCTCGGCCCTCCCAAAGTGCTGGGATTACAGGCGTGAACCACCGTGCTGGTCGAGAGGAGGAAGACTTTTAACATACTGTTACATGGTTGGTTGTTTTTTATTTTTGTTTTATTTTATTTTGAGATAGTCTCACTCTGTCACCCAGGCTCGAGTGTAGTGGCCCGATCACAGCTCACAGCCTTAACCCCCTGGGCTCAAGCAATCCTCCCACCTCAGCCTTCTGTGTAGCTGGGACTATAGGGGCACACCACCATACCTGGCTAATTTGTGTGTGTGTGTGTGTGAGAGACAGGGGTCTCACTATGTTGACAAGATGGGTCTCAAACTCCTGGGCTCAAATGGCCCTCATGCCTTGGCTTGCCAAAGTGCTAGGATTATAGGCATGAACCACTGTGCCTGGCCAGTTGTTTTTTATTTTTTATACTTTATTGACTAAAGGTCCCTGTTTTGTTGTTTTTTTTTTTTGAGATGGAGTTTTGCTCTTGTTGCCCAGGCTGGAGTGCAATGCGTGATCTGGTCCACCGCAACCTCTGCCTCCCCAGGTTCAAGCGATTCTCCCTGCCTCAGGGTACCAAGTAGCTGGGATTACAGGCATGACCCACCATGCCGGCTTAATTTTGTAGTTTTAGTAGAGATGGGGTTTTCTCCATGTTGGTCAGCTGGTCTCGAACTCCCGACCTCAGGTGATCCGCTTGCTGGCCTCCCAAAGTGTTAGTTACAGCGTGAGCCACCGCATCCAGCCAGATCCTCCATTTTTTTGTCTAGTATTTATTTTGGATTTATATGATTAGCAGTTTTTCTTTCTATGTTTTCTGTGTTCAGTTTTCTGAAGCATATTTGTTGTCACTAGCATTTTGTACTTTGTCAAGTTTTCTCATATGTAAATGAAGGTACTGTCTCCATCTTTAAAATAGAAACAGTATGAGAATTAAGTGAAAGTAATGATTACATACATAGAGAATACCTGAGTACTTGACTTAGTAATATTTAGTTTGTTTTCTCTCTTTTTTTTTTTTGCTCTTGCTTTTGTTAGATAACAGGAAACTTGGCTGTTAAGTAATTTTTTTTTTGAGACAGTCTTGTCTGCCTACCCCAGGCTGGAGTGCAGTGCTTGATGTCAGCTCACTGAACTGCCACCTCCTGAGTTCAGGTGATTCTCCTGCCTAGCCTCCGACTAGCTGGGATTACAGGCATGTGCTACCAATTTTGTCTTTTTAGTAGAGACGGGGTTTCACCATGTTGGTCAGTTGGGTCTCGAACTCCTGACCTCAGGCAGTATGCCTGCCTTTGTCCAAGTGCTGGGATTATAGCATGACCCCCATGCCCAGCCTGTTAATTTTAAAATTTAAGAGGGATAAAATCAAAGGTGTCAGAAGTTAGGTGATATTTTACTGTAAGCATTTGATTAGATTAATAGGCTAGCTTTGGGATTAAATTTTTTTTCTTTTTCTTTTTGGAGACGGAGTCTCACTCTGTCACCCAGGCTGGAGTGGCAGTGGCACGGGTCTCAGCTCACTGCAACCTTCGGGTTCATGCCATTCTTCCTGCCTCAGGCTCCCGAGTAGCTGGGACTACAGCGCCCACACCGCACCGAGCTAATTTTTTGTATTTTTATAGAGATGGGGTTTCACCGTGGTCTCGATCTT